AGCTGTATACAAAGCCCTGAACTCAATCCCCAGTACCTTACTTGGTGGTGTGCACCTGACCTGACATCACTTGGGTCACTTGGGACCTGGGGCAGGAGGATCAGAAGTTGAATGCCATCTTCAGCTGCACAGTGAGTTTTGTAGCCAGCTTGGGATATCCACATGAGATCCTGTCTCAAAACAACAGAGGTTCAGGTTGTAGCTGTAAGGGTGTAGCCCGATGGTCTAATGGTAGAGCACTTGTACAACATGCATGAGGTCCTGGGTTCAATCCCAGGCATCGCCTCCATGCTGGAGAGGGTCGTACAACAGGGAGCATTACTGGGCACTTACTAAGTCATGTGACAGCTTTATCTATTTGGGGACCATTGTGATTCCCATGGAAAGTGAGGCACAGAAAGGTTAGGCGATTTCCCCAGAGGCACACAGCTGAAACGGGTGAAGATGAGCTTGGAATTCAGATTGTCTGACCAGGTCTCCACCCTGGCAGCAGGAAGGAGAGAGGGCTTAGTCCTTCGTGCCATGAGTCACGCAACTGGCAGCAGCCTCAGGAGGGAAGACCCAGTTTGTCTCCAGAGGGCAGGAAGAGCATTTGTTTGAGGCCAGCCCTTTCCTCAGGCCGGAGTGCTAAGAGGATGTAGGGAAGGGCATGAGGAGATCCAAGAGTCAGGAGCTGTGGCTCCTAGGACTTGAAGAGATGCTGTTCTGAAGTAGTCTCCTTTCTTTAGACACCATGCCAGCCGGAGGGGGGCTGTCGGAGCTCCGCCTGAGGATGTCAGGGATGACCAATATGGCAGCTTGGCTTTGAGGTCTGCTCTACTGTCCCCCTCCCCCATATTCTCCCCAACAATTTTACTTTTCCATAGACTTTCCATCAAGAGAAACAAGAAATATATTGATAGTCTTCTGGGGGCTGGGTGTTGGGGAATATCATTACTATTATTTACTTGGTTTTTCAAGACAGGGTTTCTTGAAGCTTGTTTTGGAATTTGCTTTGTAAACCAGGCCGGCCTCAAACCCACAGAGTTCTGCCTGCCTCTGCCTCCCTAGTGCTGGGATTCCCACCGCCCAGCAAGGGGAATATTATTTTAAGGTGTGTTACTTTTATGTTGCATTTGACTCTGTGAAGCTGAGTTACTGTGCCTGTCTAAAACACCTGATGGTTTAATAGAGCGCTGAACGGCCAATAGTGAGGCAGGAGAGGGGAATAGGCCGGACTGGCAGGCAGAGAGGATGAATATGAGGAAGAATCTGGAGAAAGGAGATCTGGGAAAGAGAGAGGAACTTCAGGGGCCATCCACTCTGCCACACAGCCAGACATGGAGTAAGAAGGAAAGAAAAGGTGTACAGAAATAGAGAAAGACAAAAGCCCTGAGGCCAAAGATGGTTGGGATAATATATGTTAAGAAAAGCTGACAAGAAACAAGGCAAGCTAAGGCTGGGCATTCATAACTAACAATAAGCTTCCGTGTGCGATTTGTTTGGGAGCTGGGTGGTGGGGTCTCCAGAAAGACTAAAGAGCCAAAAGAATAAAACATCACATTACAGCTGGGGAGGTGGCTCAGTGTTTGCATCACAATCATGAGGACCTGAGTTCAAATCCCCAGTGCTCATATAAAAAGCCAGCCTGGTGGTGAGCATCTGTAACCCCAGTGGAGACATCGAATCCATGAAGCTCATTGGCCAACAAGCTTAGCCAATCAGTGAGCTCCAGGCTCAATGAGAGATTCAAAAAATAAGATGGAAGGTTGGTGAGATGGCTCAGTGGGTAAGGACACTTGCTGCCAAACCTGATGACCGGAGTTAGATCTAGGACTCACATGGTGGATGGAGAGAATGGACTATCTCTAAAGTATGCCAACACATGTACAAACACACACACACACACACACCAAATACATGTAACTAAAAGCAAGAATTATGTCTTTAAGGGACTGGACAGATGTCTCTGTGGTTAACAGCACTGACTGTTCTGTCAAAGGACCTGGGTTCTATTCCCAGCACCCACATGGTATCTCGAAACCATCTATAACTCCAGTTCCAGGGGATCTGACACCCTCTAGCCCTCTTCTGAACTTCGAGGGTACCAGGAGGCACACAGGTGGTGCACAGACACACACACACCACTCACACTGGGCAGTGGTGCCTCCCAGCACTCAGGAGGCAGAGGCAGGCAGATCACCGGAGTTTGAAGCCAGCCTGGTCTACAGAGTGAGTTCCAGGACAGCCAGAGCTACACAAAGAAACCCTGTCACAGGAAAACAACAACAAAAACCATTCATGCAAATAAAAAATACAATAAAAGAGGCAGATGCAGGTGGATCTGAGTTCAAGGCCAGCTTGGTCTACAGAGTGAGTTCCAGGACAGCCAGAGATAGACTGTCTGGAAAATCAAAACCATAAAAAAAATTCAAAAAGTTTTCATTGGCATATGTTAATACATGATCGTGTGTTTCACTATGGCATTTCCCTGTGTGTATATAATGTCTTTTGACCATAATCACCCCTATTGCTCACTCTCTTCTCACTCCCATCCCACTGAAGCCCCTTCCTCTTCTCAACTATTTCCCCTTCTACTGTAAGGGTTTGTTTTTTCCTTAATTAAAAAACATATTTACTTCATGTACAAAAGTGTTTGCTTGCCTATGTGTCTATGTGCCACATGTGCAATACTCACACCATGGAAGCCAGTGATGCTGCAACGGTAAACGGCACTTACTGAAAGTAAAACTAAGTATTTATTGTAGAAATTACTCACAAGAGACCAAACAAGTAACCCAGATGAGCCGAGTAGCTTTCTGCCGCCGAACTGGAAGCCGATAGCCGGAAAAAGAGTGAGACTTCCGTTGTTCAGTCTTTTATACCAACCCCCCCCCCCCCCCCGTAACGCCCCTAGCCATGCCCAAAAGTGAGCCTGGCTAGTGACGTAGTTCACCGCCTACATCCATATATGTCTTTACGTCCTTCCGTATACGTCTTTAGTCATGCCTAAAGTGGGTGTGGTTAGCGGTGTGGCAAACTGCTCTTTTATTACCTCATCTGTATGCGCCTCTAGTAAGTCACATGGTTAATGGCGGCATTGTTTTCCTCCTACAGAGAAGGGTGTTAGTTTTTTGCTTTTTGTTTTTTGTTTTTCAAGACAGGGTTTCTCTGTGGCTTTGGAGGCTGTCCTAGAACTAGCTCTTATAGACCAGACTGGTCTTGAACTTACAGAGATCCGCCTGCCTCTGCCTCCCCAGTGCAGGGGTTAAGTGCATGTGCCACCAGTGGCCTGGCTTGGGTGTTGGATTCTTAGGAACTGGAGTTACAGTTGTGAGCCACAATGTGAGAGTTGTGACTTGAACCTGGGACCTCTGCAAGAGCAGCCAGTGCTCTTAACCACTGAGACATGGCTCCAGCCTCTCTCTTTCTTCTTCCTTCCTCCCTCCCTCCCTCCCTCCCTCCCTCTCTCTCTCTCTCTTCATGAACTTCATTAGGGTTATGTACAGGCCCATGGGCAAGAGGTCAGTTTTAGGAGCATGGGTACTTTTCTAGTGCCTGTATCACTGAACAGAATGGCTCTCCCTCCCCCAGCAACTGTGAATTGCCTAGAGATCCTAAGGGAGGGGTGGGGCTTCATGGGTCTCTCCCTCTTCCATGATGTTCTCAATATGGTCCAAGTAATCATAGCTGTTTGTGAGTTCAAGAGTGCAACAGCTGTGCCGTGGCCACAAGACAGGGTTCCATTGCACTCTGCCCCTTCTCACCCCTCTTCCATGATCTTCCCCAGTCTTGTTTTGTTTTGGGTTTTTGATTTGTTTGATTGTTTTGAGACAGATGTCATATATCCCAGGCTGAGCATGGAAGACCCTGAATTCCGTGATCCTCCTGCCTTCATCTCCAGGCCTTGAACTTGCCATGTACCTGAAGCTCTTGCTTCCATTTCCCAACTACTGGGAGTATAATTATACCACTATGCCTGGTTTATATGATACTGGGAATGGAATCCAGGACTTCATGAATGCTAGGCAAACACTACCAACTAAGCTACATCCCTAGACTGTAATGTCAATGTCTTGTTGACATTTCACCACACACACACACACACACACACACACACACACACACACACACACCAGAGATCAGAGGACAACTTTCTTTTGGGAGACGGATATTAGATTTGGTTCAGTCAGTATTTTTATTTTTAGAGCTAGGGTTATAGAGACAAAACGTTCAAAATTAAAATAAGACAAAAATCCCCAGCCAGGCATTGGTGGCACATGCCTTTAATCCCAGCACTCAGGTGGCAGAGGCAGGTAGATCTCTGTGAGTTCGAGGCCAGCCTGGTCTACAGCCTCCAAAGCAATACAGAGAAAGCCTGTCTTGAAAAACCAAAAAAAAAAAAAAAAAAAAAAAACCAGACAAAAATCCCCACATTTTAGCATTCAGATCCTGCCCCAGTGACTTGGCACATCTTATACAAATACGCAGAGCCTAACTTCCAGTGACCCACAGTGCTTGGCCCTAAATGGCCCAGAAGGACAAGTCGTGCTTTAAACTTCACTGCTTAACAACACAGCCAGCCTGTCCCCTCTGATACAGACCCAGACAAATGGCCTGTGAGATAAGACTGAACAACCAACAACGGCCCACTGCGAGAGGACTTCCACCCTTCAGCCTAGAGACGGGATCCCATCCCAGGGGTTCGTGATAGTGCGGTGGAGCTAATGAACTTTCTACTTCATTCTCTTCTGTGTTTACCATAAGCCTCTTTGCATCTTACACATCATTGGCCTGTCACCATCCACACATCTCACTTTATAGCCCAGGCACTGAACTTACCAATGCTATGCCCCAACTGCTGCAAGGATAACTACTGTACACCACCGCCTTGGCCTTTTCCTCCATCACCCCTGCTACCAAATCTCAGTAGCCACTCTCTGTGTAGTCTGAGTAGCCCCGAGCACTGGCAACCCCCCTGCTTCAGTTTCCCAAGTGCTGGGATTACAGGAGTGAGCCACTCTGCTTTAGCGGTTTTTATTATACTTCCCCCATTTGTTTTGTTAGTTGGGTTTGTCATTTATTTGTTGGTTTGTGTTAGAGACAGAATGATCATGTAGCCCAGGCTGGCCTTGAACTCATGGTCTTTCTGGGTGCTGGGATCATAGATGCAGACCATCATACCAGGCAGCTTTCCTTTCGTTTACATCTGTAACTCTGGAACTTGAGAAGAAATAGATGAGTTATTTTACAGACCATTCCTTCAGTGGGGTGTGTCCTGTTCTCCTCAGGCTCACACTGGGCTCTGACCTCCCTCTGAGCTGGAATGTTACAAGAGTGACACTGTGTGCCTCAGTCATTTGCAGAAGTGTTGGATGCCTGAAGCCCGAAGAGGCTGATGTTAGATTTGGTCACCTGCTTAGGGTCCATCATGTTCTTCCACTCCATAAGGTAGAATTTTCTCTCTTGCAAGTAAAGAAGGGGCAGTCTGCAGGGACACTTCCAGGTCACATAAATATCCCCTTCCTATTGGTTCTTTCAGGGTCACTTCCGATCACCTGTGTGGCTCTGCCCCTTCCCCTCACCTTTGTCACCCTCGCTCCTGCGGGTCCTGGGATGTCCTTCTCTCAGCCCGGTCTTCTAGCCTTATGCTGTGAAAAGCCATCCCTGTTAGCGACACTCAGGGCCATGGTGCTCAGACACACCCTTCTCAGTCCAGCAGTGGACACAGCAGCTGAAGGCATGAGCCGGTTCACCAGAAGAAAGGAATCCTTCCAGAACCACACCTCCAAGCTGCAGAGGCCAGAAGCAGATGGCCGCAGCAGATAAGAGCAGGGGGTTCACTTGTCAGGGCTCTGCCGGTGTCTGGGAGGGATCAGCTGAGACAAGGGGCTTGTTCTTCTGCCACAGGCTGTTCCTGGTGTGTTGTGGGACGTGGGGTGACGCCAGGCAGAGGCAGCGGTACACGGTGTTCTGCAGGAAGGCAGGCGGGCGGGTTCCAAATATGGACGTGCAATAGGAAGCTTGGCTCCAGGAGTGCAGACGCCTCACACAGTAAGCAAACCAACCAGCCCAACCCAGTTCCCAAGTGTCACACAAGTGAGGGAGGGAGACTGGGGCTGTCCCGGGCATGGGGTGCAGCTGGGAGGACATCAGACCCACACAGCTGCTTCTACCTCCTGCATTGCAGGGGCTCTGCAGGCTGCTGGGGTCCCAGGGCACCTCGGAAATGGAGACAGCCTTTATTCCTCGGGAAGTGAAGGGCTCTTGCCATCTGGGAAAGGATACATTTGCTGTTGAGTTTCAAATGGCTTCGTGCCCCTTCTGCTTACAGGCTGCAATGTGAGGAACTGATTGTCCAGGCTTCAAAAGACCAAATAAATAAGCTGATAAATGAGCCGTGAATCACCGAAGAGCCCTGAGCCACCAAAGAGAGGAAGAACGGTCCTCAGTCAAACAAACTTTCTGAGGAGGAAGGGCTGGCTACTCAGTTCTGCTGTTGCTTAGAAGCAGCTGAGGAGTTGACCACCCCTGCAACTCTCCCAGGGCAACGCTGGCTGTCCCTGCACTTTTCAGAAAGGGAAATCGTCGCTTCATCTGAACCAGGGCCACCAGCTCTGCAGTGAGGACCAATTCTCTATGTTGAAGGTCAGGTTTCTACTCTGAAAGAGTAACTGGAAAGGCAGGCATCTGGGAGACTCCTGCCACCCTGTTGCTACCCACATGATAGCTGATGGTGATTGGGGGGCAGTGGGCTGTGAAATGTGCCATCTGAAGTCAGAGCAGACTTGAGTTTGAACACCACCCCTTCCGCTTACCAGCTGTTTTACTCTGGTAAGTAATGCACTGCCATTAAGCCTCCACCTCCCTCTGTGTGGGAAGCACTATGACACTCAACCTGGATAGCGAAATGGAACCAGACAGTCTTGCGTGAAGTCTTCCTAGACCGATGAACAAATGTCTACTCACCAACCACAGACCAAAACAACAATTCACACCCGAGTCTGACTTGGTGCAGTACTGAATTCAATTCGGGTTACCTACAGGTGTGTGGTAGCTTGTGAGCTTCTACACACTGAAGAAAAGGTTTCTTACCCCACTCCCCAGGCCCCAACCACAGTTAATGGTCCATAGATCCTCAGGAGGGGCAGGGTCTTGTGAACCTCTTGCCCTAGGGACCTTTAACTGCTTATATACACATAGGTTCCCAGGAAAGGATGGATCTCCCAGAGTTCCTTCTGTCAGTCATGGAAACAGAGAGAGAGAGACAGACAGACAGACAGACAGACAGACAGACACAGAGAGAGAGAGACAGACAGAGAGAGAGACAGACAGACAGAGACAGAGAGAGACAGACAGACAGAGACAGAGAGAGACAGACAGACAGACAGAGACAGAGACACAGAGAGAGAGAGACAGACAGACAGACAGAGACAGAGACAGAGACACAGAGAGAGAGAGAGACAGACAGACAGACAGAGACACAGAGAGAGAGACAGACAGACAGACAGAGACAGAGACACACACAGAGAGAGAGACAGAGAGAGAGACAGACAGACAGACAGACAGAGACAGAGACAGAGACACAGAGAGAGAGAGAGACAGACAGACAGAGACAGAGACAGAGACACAGAGAGAGAGAGAGACAGAGAGAGAGACAGACAGACAGACAGACAGAGACAGAGACAGAGACACAGAGAGAGAGAGAGACAGAGAGAGAGACAGACAGACAGACAGAGACAGAGACACAGAGAGAGAGAGAGAGTCCCTGTGGCTCCCCTAGCAACAGCTGTCTATGTATCTTCAGGGAGGGGCCAGGCTTCCGAACCACTCCCATCTGGATCGTTTAACTGGCTCAGTTTTTTCAAGCTTCTTTTGAGTAGTCCCAGCTGCTGAGAATTCAAGGCGAGGGCCTCGTCATGCCTAGAGGACAGACTTCCCAGCAGATGGCACATTGCAATGCATGCAAAAGGTGCATATTAAGTGCCCCATAATCCTCTAGTGACAGGAAGGTTCTAATAATAATGATGATGATGGTGATGATGACGATGTGAGACTTGAGTAGAAGGTTGAAGCCAGTGTGAGCTTGAGGCCGATATAGGGACCAAGAAATGAATAATGTCCTTATCCAGATAGCCAATTCTATTGCAGAAACCTTCAATAGAATTTTTGTTTTGGTTTGGTTTTTCAAGACAGGGTTTCTCTGTGGCTTTGGAAGCTGTCCTGGAATTAGCTCTTGTAGACCAGGCTGGTCTGGAACTCACAGAGGTCCACCTTCATCTGCCTCCTGAGTGCTGGGATTAAAAGCTCTTGTTTTTGTTTTTTGAGACAGGGTTTTTCTGTAGCTTTGGAGCCTGTCCTGGTACTCACTCCGTAGGCTGGCCTTGAACTCACAGAACTCGCAGAGATCCACCTGCTTCTGCCTCCTGAGTGCTGGGATTAAAGGCATGTACTACCATTTTCTGGCTCTATCAATAGAATTTTAAAAGCTTTTATTATAGTGGTGTGTGTGTGTGTGTATGTGTGTGTGTGTGTTCATGCCCAGACCACAGCATGTGTGGGGACATTGTAAGACAACTTTTGTTTGGGGATAGAATCTTCCCATGTATGGCTGACTTGAACTCATCATATAGCCAATGCTAGCCTTGAACTCCTTATAATCACATCTCCAGTTTCTTCTTTTTTAAAAAATATTTTAATTTTTTTTATGTGCATTGGGGTTTTTACCTGGTGTACCCGTGTGTCAGATCCCTTGGAACAGGAGTTATAGACAGCTGTTAGCTGTCATGTGGGTGCTGGGAATTGAACCTGGGTCCTCTGGCAGAACAGCCAGCACTCTTAACCATTGAGCCATATCTCCAGTCCGGTTTCCAGTTTCTTAAGTGTTACGAGTATAGGCTTGTACCATCGCACCCAGCTCAAACTGGCTTTTATAACAGACTTACCATCAAGGTGACTCATTGATCTATTAATCCTGGATGGATTAATACATTCCTCCAGGCAGAGTCCTCTAGACTAATTATTTCTCTAGCCAGTGAGATGGCTCAGGTATAGTGCTTGCTGATGAACCTGACAATATGAGTTTAATCCTGGTACCTACACAATGAAGAACAGCACTGATTTTTTTAAAGTAACTGGGGGTGGATCGATGGCTCAGTGACTAGGATCAGTGGCTGCTCTTACAGAGGAACCTACCTGGCTTGGTTCCCAACACCATATGGAGGCTCACAGTCATATGTAACTGCAGTCCCAGGGGATATGACACCCTCTTCTGGCCTCTGTGGGTACTGCTTTCACATGGTGCACAAACATGTACAGAAAAAAAACACCCATAAATATGAAAATTATTTAAAATACAAGAATTTTTTGAGACTCTGTAGACCAGGCTGGCCTTGAACTCACAGAGATCCACCTGCCTATGCCTCCCGAGTGCTGGGATTAAAGATGTGCACTGACTATCTCATCCAGTTAAACAAGTGTTTCCTAGCCCTCTCCTTTATTCTTCACAGTCCACTCATTTAATCTTCTCACACACGGACACCATGATACCTGTGGCTCTCTCCATCCACCATGTGGATGTCAGCAATGAAATGCAGGTCATCCAGAAGCACCTTCGCTTGCTGAGCCATGCGGCTGAAATGTCCTTGACAGCCTTCGTTGCTGTCTCCTGGCTTGAACATTTTGGTTTGGGCAATGTCTATTGAAGTCTTTTCAAGAGCCAAACTGCTGTCTGAGGCTTGACATGTAGTAGCCCCTCGACAAAAATCAGTGGCTAGCCAGATGTGGTGGCACATGCCTTAACCCAGCACTTGGGAGGCAGAGGCAGGTGAATCTTGGTGAATTTTAGGCCACCCTCGTCTACAAAGCCAATTCCAGGACAGTCAGAGCTGTAACACAGAGAAAGCCTGTCTCAAAAAAACCAAAAACGAACAAACAAAAACAATCAAACCAGTGGCTTGAGTAAATAAATAGATAGTTAGTCTACACAGGACTTACTGCATTTGCTGGTGTGTCAGTAGAGGGTCCTCCTGATGGAAGGGACGGGATACATAACCCTGACCTTATTTGGGTGGAAGGCCATCCAGGATTCTGCTGCAGTGAGTAGTGGTGCAGAGGGGTAGGGTGGGGAGGAAGTGCTTCCTCTCTCCAGAGCTGCAGAGAGCTAATGGCCTCCCTAGGAAACCAATCCAATTAAGGGTTTGGCTTCAAGTCAACTTGAGTTCCCTTCCTGGCTCAAACAGCTTCCAAGTGACAAAATGGAACCTGTGACTTCCCCAAGACAGGCCAGTCTCCTGAAAGATAAGAGCTGAAAGGGGAGGGTTGGGGGGTAGAGTTTCTTCTCCCAGAGGAACAGGCTGCTTGGAGCCTACAGGATTTGGGTGGCATTGCGGGAGAACAGAGCAGGGCTGCTATGGGCAGTGACAAGGAGCTTAAAGCAGGTCAGGGGTCACGGGCTGGTCTTTTTCTGCTTCCATCTCCCTGATTGGGAACCAAATGAGGCAAGGAGGAAGAGCCTGCCCGAGGCCACAGAGTACCACCTCAGAGAACTGGAAAGATAAGCAGCTGGTCCCTGGTTGGACACAGACAGTCTCTCTGTGTAGCCCAGACTGTCCTGGAACTTGCTATGTAGACCAGGCTGGCCTCGAACTCACAGAGATCCGCCTGCCTCTGTCTCCTGAGTGCTGGGATTAAAGGCGTGGGCCACCAATGCCCAGTTAACCCAGGCCCTTTTAAAGAGCAACAAATGCCCTTAACTGTTGAGCCAGCTCTCCAGCCTTCTCTTCTTCCTCCCCACCCTCCCCAGGGTTTCTTTGTGTAGCTCTGGTTGTCCTGGATCTTGCTCTGTAGACCAGGCAGGCCTTGGATTTTCCTCAGATCTACCTGCCTCTGCCTCCTGAGTGCTGGGATTAAACACACATCTATTTATTTGCTTATTTTGAGGGAGGGACTTTCTATGTGGTTCTGGTTAACCTAGAACTTTATTTTGTATTTTTTGTTTGTTTTTCTGGATAGGGTCTCACTGTGGAGTTTTAGCTGTCTTGGAACTTGCTATGTAGGCCAGGTAGGCTTGGAACTCACAGAGATTGGCCTCTCTACAGTGCTGGGATTAAAGGAATGTGCCATTATGCCTCAACACATCTTCTGAGGACACATTCCCCCAGGTGACAGACAAGGAAGCTAATGTGAAATGATTTGCCTAAGGAAGCAAGCATGGGAGTGGGATTTGAATGGAAGACCCTTTAGCAGGGAACCATGAAGCAAAGGACAGACGGAACTGGAGAGTCGGTTGTACACAAGAAGCAGAGGGTGTTTGGGGGGCGGTAGGTAAGGCAGGATAACACACACTTTTAGTGAGGCAGAGGCAGGCAGATCTCTGTGAGTTCAGGGCTCACTCTATTGACCAGGCTGACTTCAAACTCAGAGATTCGTCAGTCTCTGCCTCCTGACTGCTAAAATTAAAGGTGCATGCCTATTGTCCCAAGTGGTCGTGTGTTGTACACCCCCTTCCCCCCAGTGCTGGTGATTCAAACTCAGCCCCTCTTGTTTGCACAACAAACACCCTGGAATTATAGATGTGAGCCTCTATGGTGTGCTGTGGATCAAACATAGGGACCTGCGCTCATAACTCAAGCATTCTGCCGACTGACCTGTGTCCCTAACCCTACCTTGTCCTTTACCTTTAAATTATGTGTATGTGTGTGCACCTTTGTGTGAGTGAGCACATGGAGGTCAGAGACATCAGATCAGATCCCTCTGGAGCTGGAGTTACAGGTGGCTGTGAGTCCCCTGAAGTGAATGCTGGGAACTGCACTCTGTTCCCCTGGGAAGCAGTACTAGCTCTTAACCACTGAGCCATTTTTCCAGCCCGTACACTGTTTGTTTAATGCTCATAATAACTCTTTAAGGGCCGGGGGCGTTGGTGGCACACACCTTTAATCCCAGCAATCAGAAGGTAGAGGCAGGTGGATCTCTGTGAGTTCGAGGCCAGCCTGGTCTACAGAGCAATTTCCAGGACCAGCTCCAAAGATACAGAGAAACCTTGTCTCAAAACACAAAAGCAAAAACAAAATGAAGAACTCTGTGGCTGGGCAATGGTGGTGCATGCCTTTAATCCCAGTACTCGGGAGACAGAGGCAGGTGGATCTCTGTGAGTTGGAGACCAGCCTGATCTACAAGAGCTAGTTCCAGGACAGCCTCCAAAGCCACAGAGAAACCCTGCCTTGAAAAACAAAAAAACAAAACAAAAAAAGAACTTTGTGAGGCTGCAGAGACAGTGAGAAGAAAGAAGCGGGTTTGTTAGGCTCTACTGTTTACTAGCTGTGGGACCCTAGGCAAGCTGCTTAACTTTTCTGAGCCTTGTTTGTTTTCGCTGTATTGTTGTATTGTTTTGGAGGCTGTCTTGGAACTAGCTTTGTAGACCAGGCTGGCCTCGAACTCACAGAGATCCACTTGCCTCTGCCTCCTGAGTGCTGGGATTAAAGGCCTGCGCCACCAACGCCCGGCTCTGAGCCTTGTTTTTTTCCTACTGTATACATTGCGCCTAGATGGTCTTTTCTCTAGTGAAGGTCCAGCTACAGGCCAGGAAGAGATTCTGAACTTTTGACTTATTAGCATTTTACTTCCTGAGCTGAGAATCGTCACCTCTCACCTCTCAGGTTTGTTAAATGATTCACTCCTTTAGACATTGGAAAGGTCAGTCATTCTATAGATGGTGCATTCAGGTTAAACTTCAGCCAAACATATAGCTTGGCCACAACTGGCAGGAAAATGTAGGATCTAATTCCCATTGTACCGACACACTTGAATTCAAAGCCAATCTGAAAATTTCCATAACAGAGTTGAGCCATAGTGGTCTTGACTGGCACCACCAAAGATTAATTGAGTAGTTATTATGTGATAGGAGCCTGGAGAGAAATGGCCAAGCAACACTCAGGAGATGGGAGGTGTTCATTCATTCATACATTCATTTTTTTTAGTTTTTGGAGACAGGTCTCATATGGCTAGGTTGGCTTTGAAATCACTGTTGCTGAGGATGACCTTTGTCTTAGTCACCATTTTATTGCCATAAAGAGACACCATGACCAAGGCAACTCTTATAAACCAAAGCATTTAATTGAGGGCTTACTTACAGTTTCAGAGGGTGAGTCCATGGTCATCATGGTAGGAAGCAGACAGGCATGATGCTGGAATAGTAGTTGATAGCTTTACATCTGGATCCATCCTAATCCACAGGCAACAACCTTCTCCACCAGGGCCACACCCACTCCAATAAGACCACACCTCTTCAACAAAGGCCACACCTTCTAATCTTTCCAAGATCCATCCAGATCCAAAGGCAACAAGGCCATACACACTCTTAATAAGACACAACCTCCTTCAATAAAGGACATGCCTCCAATAAAGGCCACACCTCCTCCTCCAAGGCCACACCTCCAACAAGGCCACCCCTCCTAACCTTTCCAAGCAGTCCATCAACTGGGGATTAAACATTTATTTATTCATATTTTATGTGTATTAGTGTTTTATTTGCATGTACATCTGTGTGAGGGTGTCAAAGATCCTGGAGCCAAAGTTACAGACAGTTGTGAGCGGCCATATGGGTGCTGGGAAATTGAACCTTGGTCCTCTGGAAGAGCACTCAGTGCTCCTAACCTCTGAGCCAAATCTCCAACCTGGATTAAGCTCTTAAATGTGAGCCTATGGGGGAATTCTCATCCAAACCACTAGAACCTTGAACTCATTCTGCTCCTTCTTCATCATCTCCCAAGTGCTGGGATTTCAGGTATTTACTACCATGCCTGGTTAGAAGACGGAAGCTGAAAAGATAATATTTGAAGGTCAGCAAATGGCTCAGTGGGTAATATGCTTGCCACCAACCCTGACGACCTGAGTTCAATTCCTAGATAGAACCCACATGTTGGAGATCAGAGAACTGATCCTTGAATGTTGTCTTCTTGACACTGTTTTAAATAAACTCCACAGCAGTGTGCATGCCTTTAATCTCAGCACTTGGGAGTCAGAGGCAGACAGATCTTGGTGAGTTCGAGACCAGCCTGGTCTACAGACAGAGTTCCAGGACAGGTTCCAAAGCTACAGAGAAACCCTGACTTGAAAAACCAGGGGGGGGGAACTCCCCACCCCCAAAACAACAAAAGAATCTACCAGGCTGGGCGTTGGTGGCGCACGCCTTTAATCCCAGCACTCGGGAGGCAGAGGCAGGCGGATCTCTGTGAATTCGAGACCAGCCTGGTCTACAAGAGCTAGTTCCAGGACAGCCTCCAAAGCCACAGAGAAACCCTGTCTCGAAAAACCAAAAAAAAAAAAAAAAAAAAAAAAAAGAATCTACCAGATCAAACTAAATCTCTCTCTCTATCTCTGAGGACAAAGAAAAGAAAGCTGTGCCTGAGAAGGGTCCCCAGGAGGACACAGGCTTGACTACGGAGGCCCGTTAGGTGTGTGCCACATAGCATGGAGTTGGGTGAGCGGTACAGTGTGCTGACTGATCCTGCCAACACCTAGAACTGACAGAGCTCCTGTCCTGGGCTGAGTAGCACTACAAGCACTTCCCGATTATTTCATGGTGGAGCCTGCGAAACGGGTTCCAATTTAGACCTGCTCTACAGAGCACAGAGAAGGTCAGTAAGTCACCCTGAGCTGGTAAACGACAATCAGGACTGGATGGAACCAGCCTGCTGGGAGCTCACTGGACACCCCAGCTTGTGACTTGTTTTGACATGGTATTTATTTATTTACTTAGAGACACACATCTTGTGTAGCAGTAGGCGATCTCAACCCCTAAGCCATCTCTCCAGCCCCCTTTTCTTTCCACTTTTATGTGGGTTCCAGGGTTCAAACTCAGGTTGCTGGACTTAAGAGGCAAGTGCCTGGGCCATCTCACTGGCCCCCACCCCTTGCGTTTTAGACACAGGGCCTCACTAGATAGAGCTGGCAGCTTTCCTGCCTCAGTTTCCAAGCGCTGGGATTCAGGCACAAGGAACCAAAGCCTCCTGGTGGTTAGCCCGTGTGCCCAGGCACCTGATAGGTACTGCAGTATGGTTGATGCAGTGGAACTGTTTCCTGAAGGCTTGGTGTGACCATTGCCATCATGGAGCCGAGCAGCTGTGCTGACCCACAGAAGACCTTGGCCTGTAGTCATAGCAACGGAAGAAACAAAGCTATACACCAGACACCTAAGCCTAAGGTATCGGGGCTGTTGACATTCCCTCTTTGAGAAGGGAGATCACAAGACCCTTCCCTGAGATTCCAATCACCACTCCCTCCTGCCCTGGCTATGTTGTCTTAGAAATGCTGAGGTTCTCGAAGGCTACAGACTGGGGTGGGACTTCTCTGTGATGGCAGCTGCTTGTGAGTCACTCCTGTTCCTGTAAGTATCCTGGGAAACTCAGTCATTCACCAAGGTGGACCTGACAGACTTTTTCTTTGTTCTGACTCCTCCCTCCCTGTTGGAAATGAGTAGATGTTTAAGTCTCCCCAGGAAAGTCACCCAACCGCAGGGCTCCGTCATTCTGTGTACACTCTTATTGACTAGCCAGGGATATTCAGGGGTGTAGACATCACTGAAACCCAACAAACCTCTCCCCCAGGGAAGTGTGTGCTACTGGGGAGGCATTATGTGCACGTATATTAGTTTCCTTTCCGTTGCTGTGACAAATAACAAGACCAAAAACCACTTAGGGGAGGAAAAGATTTATTTAGCTTAAGCTTTCAGGCCACAGTCCTTCCCTGAGGGAAGTCAGGGCAGGGACTCTGGCAGGAGCTTGAAGCCGAAGCCATGGAGAGAGCTGCTTGCTGGCTGACTCACTGTTTAGCTCACTCACACAAGCTGAGCTTCCTCACAGGACCACCTGCAGAGAGACGATGCGGCCCACAGTGGGCTTGGCTCTCCTGTATCGATTAATAATCAGGGGAATCCCTCACTGATGTGCCCACAGGTCAATCTGATGTAGGCAATTCTTCAGTTGAGACTAACCTCTCAGATGAGTCTAGGCTGTGTCAAGTTAAAGTCACCTAGGACTATAAACCAGGAACACACATACACTACACACATATACATACACACAGTTTATACACATGTAATATATATATACACACAACACACACACATTATACACACAACACTAGACACACACGAACTTGTTCTGGAGAGGAAGTAAGCAGGGGCTGGATGAGTGTTGGTCGTGCCCAGAGTGCACAGGTGGCACCTAGTAAGACTTTTTCCTTTCCTTTCTATTTCCTTATTTTGGCTTTTTGAGACAGAGACAGGGTCTCTCTGTGTAGCCCTAGCTGTCCTGGAACTCGCTCTGTAGACCAGGCTGGCCTCAAAATCACAGAGATCGGCCTGCCTCTGCCTCCTGAGTGCTGGGAGTAAAGACATGCGCCACCCCACCCGGCCTTAGTGAGACTTCTAAGAAGTTACATCTGAGCACAGCGCTAAAGGGTGTGAGTGGGTAAGAGTTCTGGTGGACCAAGGGTTCAGGGGTACATGAGAGCAAAGGCCCCGAGGCAGCAGTGTGCTTGAAGTGTCAAGGACTAGAAAGACTGCAGGTGGGGTTGGGGCGGGGCACACAAGGGAGGGCGGAGGGGGATGAGGTCAGAAGGGTGTGCGTGGAAAACACACTTCCACCCTTCTTCACGATTTCTCTGTTATAAGAGCAAACAGGAGCACTGGGCAGACGTAAAACAGTCTTGTCTTTCAAAGTTGGACACAATGTGCTATGGGATCTCCCAGCATGAACACTCTTCCTTTCCCCTTCCCAGACCTGTGCTCCCATTGCTAGTGAACATCAGAGTGGAAACTGGGAGCCTCTAGGTATGACTGTGACCAGGTTCCCAGGCATGGGCTCCAGGTCTGAGCCAGGACCCAAGGGTGGGCAGGTGGACAGGGGCACACTCCTTAGGACTTGGAGGAGAATGTCACAGGCTCCCTCCCACTTAAGATTTGTATTTAAGCAAAGAAACTGGAAGACACACCCCTGATGTGCTGCTGTTTCCAGCATGGGTCTCTGCGCTAGGGTGCTGTGGCCCAGCATGGACTCAGCACAAACTGACTTGGATAAACCCTAAATGGGACCCAGTGGATTCATGCATGCCTTTGGGCCAGTCTGGGGTCTTCTAGGCTGTGCTGGGTCATTTTAGGTGTGCCTGTGTTTTGAATTTACCATTTGGGATGAAGGTGGGAAGGGTAGGCTTTGAGGGAGCTTTAATCTGTTCACAGTTCTGTGAAAAATTAACACAAGGCCCAGTTCAAAGTCCAGCTGTTACTTTGGTTTGTTTCTGGGTCACGTTTTGGTCTATAGGGCAACCTTCTTACTTACTTTTCAACAAACTAACTGGTCACTGAGTTGAACATGATACTGGCCTCACCTGTAGGGGCAGACAAGACACCAAAAGGCACACACCATGAGGTATCAGTTCCCCTTAATTACACAAGCTAGGGACCAGCACCACCCTCCAGTCTAGATACTGAAAGTCTTGGGCTTTTGTTTTTTTGAGATAGGATCTCATATAGCCCAGGCTGGTTTCAAACTCATATAGCTGAGGATGACCCTAAACTCCTGACCTCCTGTTGCCACTTCTGGAGTGAAGGGATGACAGGCACCACACTCAGTTTATGCAGGGCTGGGAACTGAACTCAGGGCTTTGAGCATACTAGACAGACAGTCTACCAGCTGACTTATATCCCTAGTCTAATAAAAATTCACTAGGGAGGCAGAGGCAGGTAAATCTTTGAGTTTAAGACCAGCCTGTTCTATAGAGTGAGCTCCAGGACATCCTGGGCTACAGAGAGAAACCCTGTCTCCAAAAAACAAAAACAAAAAAATTTACTATTATTGTTGGCTACTGTGGTGTGGTGGCAGACAGCTTTGACCCCAGCACTTGGGAAGTGGAGGCAGAGACCGGTAGATATGAGTTTGCCAGCCTCATCTACATAGTGGAAACTTACGTTTTAAAAATGTTGTATGTGGTGGCACACACCTTTAATCCCAGCACTCGGGAGGCAGAGGCAGGTGGATCTCTGTGAGTTCGAGGCCAGGCTGGACCAATAGCCTCCAAAACAATACAGAGAAACCCTGTCTCATAACCCCCCCCCCCCCCCAAATTGTATGTGTGTCACGGTGCTCATGTGGAAGTCAGAGGACAACTTTATTGAGTTGGTTTTCTCCTTTGGCCTTTAAGTGAGTTCCTCCAAAATCAAATCCAGGCTGTCAGTCTTACAAGGCAAGTGCTTTTACCTGCTGAGTCATCTTGACGGTCCGTATTCTTTTTTTTTTTTTTTTTTTGGAAGCAGTTCTTGCAATCTATCCAGACTGTCCTCAAACCCTCAGTCCTCCTGCCTGAGCCTCCTGAGAGCCATGCATGTGTCACTAAGTCAGGGGAGGTTAAGGGTCTTTTAAGATCATTGTCAAACTGTGAACTTAATTAAAACAGTTGCATTTCAGAGCATTGCTGGAACTAATTGCTGGGACAGCATCCCTTTCAGAGACTGTAACAACTTTCATTGGATCGAATGAGGAGGTGGCGGTAAAGTTGCAAGTTGCATCGTATTTTCACATATCATTCCAGTTTGTTGAAGCTCTCTGATCCACACCAGGCACAGAGGATGCAAGATAATTGTCGGTGTAGTCCCCGCATTTGGCCTTTTTGATGAACTCACTCATCACCCTAACCTGGGATGAACGCAGAATGACTAGATTAAGGAAAGCCAGAAGGCACGTTTTCCAGAGGTGACATTCACCCCAGGCATTCCACAGCAGACCAGGTGTCTCTCTGGTCTCTGTCCTCAGAGTCTAAAGTACTCTGGCCCCCGTGCGCTGAGGGCGCCATTCAGGTGGCTCTAATGCGTTCTAAAAGTTCTCCAGGTGAACTGAGGAAAGGAATCGGTCCAGGTGGTGCAAACAGCCTGGATGACGATTTAGAAGTCTGGCGCTGCCTCAGGCACCGGGTTTATGGTGGAGCGGGATCCTGTCTCATCGTTTCGGCCTGACTCGGACCTGGAACATAGCACGGCTTTATATGAATTTTTGAGTATCTTGACATCTAATAGAGAAGCATCCCGGGAGGAAGTCCGTAGTCAGAAGAAGAAAAAACAGTAATTCTTAAGGACATGAAAACTTTCGCAAAAGTTTTCCAGGAAAGGGCGGTCGCGCCTAACAGAAGGAGCCGGGGGAGGCCACCGCCCCGGGAACGGGCGGGGATGATGATGAGTCCCGCGGCTGCAGCGGGGGAGAGGGCGCGAGGAGGGCCACCGCATGAGGTCACCTGGCATCCAACCAGCAGCAGCTGCGGAGGACGCGGGCGAGCCACGGAGGGAGGCGGTGTCAGGCTCCGGCTCCCGGGGCTTTCCCTCCCGCCCCCTGGTGGGGCGTGGCTCGCGGGGACCGCCCCACCAATCCGCGCTGCCCACCCTAGGCCGCGCCCGCGGCGTTCTCCAGGCTCCACAGCGGTCGGTCCGCTGAAGCTAAGGCGCTCCCTCCCCCCCTCCCCCCCGGGTCTTCTCGAGGCCACGCCCCTTGCGATCAGGCCCGCCCACTTCCCCCGCAGAGCCCAGAGGCGCCGGGCTGCTGCCCCGCCCACACCACGCCCACCGGGTCCCGCCCAGCGGTTTGAAGTGGCTGGGACCGCAACCCCCTCCGAGTGGCGCGCGAGGCGTGAGGCGGTGCTGGGGATCTGAGGCCGAGGGCAGTTTGACGCCGGGACTGTCCAGTGAGCGAGCCAGCGAGCGAGCGAGAGAGCGAGCGCGCCGGGAACCCGCAGCCACAGCAGCCCCGGAGCCACAGCAACAGCCGCAGCCGCCGTCCGCGGAGTCCAGCCCAGCCGGCCATGGCGCTGTCGATGCCCCTGAACGGGTTGAAGGAGGAGGACAAAGAGCCCCTCATCGAGCTCTTCGTCAAGGTGAGCGCTCGCCGTCTCGGGCGGCCCGTGGCCCCCACGCCCCCGAAGCGCCCCCACGCGGCGTCCCCGCGGCCCGAGGCAGCGCCTTGCCTCCCGCGCCCCTTCCCATTGTCTGGGCCCCGCGCCTTCCCGCCTCGCAGCGGGACCTTGGCGGACCCTGCGGGCGCGGCGACAGAGCAACGACTCCGCAGGGCGGGACGCGCCTCAGCCGCGCCGCGTGGGTCCTGTCACTCTCCTCGCGCGGTCCGACCTCCCCCAGCCCGCGGAGCCCCAGTCTTGGGCCGCCCGGTTGATCGCTCGCTCAACTTACTCGAGCGCTGGCGCTCCGCCGGTGTGAAACTGAAACTTTCATCTCGATGCAATGTTAAATTAAAGGGGAAAACCGGGAACGGGACTGGGTAGCGCAGGCCTTAAACCCAGCAACAGGGGAGGTGGAGCCATGAAGATTGGGAGTTCAGGCTCACTCAGCCTGGCTCCTTACCGAGCTCAGGGCAAGCCTGGGATTCGTAGGACCCCTCAACCCTGCCCTCCTCCCCCACGGGGGAGGGGAGATTTTTTTTTTCCCTAATGCGGGCGTGGTGACCAGGCTATGACCTAGCAGTTGAAGCTTGAGTGCCTCGGGTTCGAGTCCAGCCAGAGCTACAAATGTGAGCCCATGGTACACACCCCCAAACCCCCAGACAACAGAAAAAAAAAAAAAAAAAGGCAAAGGAAAAGAAAAGCAAAAGCGAGAAGAAGGGTGGATGCCCCAGGGCTTCCGGAAAAGACGGAGATTCCCGACTTGGGTTTTCCTGTCCGGTATTTTACCACCATCTGGTTTTCTTGTTTCTCGAGCGCGGCGCGTTTTTACATGATGCAACCTTTTGGCTGCTCAGGTTTGTGTTGCCACCTCGGCAAGCGCTTTTGATTCGAAAGAAAAATTGATTTCCAGGAAGAATTCTTAGCTCCCTCGGCTTTAAAAGATTCATTCCTTTCGCCCCCTTCAGCTTTTAAATCCTGGAACTGCCTTCTTTGCCTACAAACACTATCAGAAGGCTCTCTGCACCCCTCACTTTTGGAGCGTAGTGGAGGAGAGACAAGTTAGCAAACATCTGGGTCCTCTGCTTTTCTGAGCCGCCTTTGAAACCCTGAGATTGCCAGCCACTAACTAGCCAGACTTAGTAGAGACAGACAGCACATTAGAAATTCAACAGGAATCCAGTCCTAGTCCGCCCTTTCTTAGTTATAATTTGAAAGAGCGGAAATTATTGAAGGATGTGTTCCAGAGATGGAAGGAAGAAATCTGCAGGGTGGTAACGTTGTTTGTTTTAGTGTTTTTTCTGTCAGTTACCAGTTCTAGACACGTTTTGGTCTAGAGCAGTTGTTCTCAACCTGTGAGTAGCCACCCCAGGGTCAAACGACTCTTCTTTTTTTTCGAGACGGGTTTCTCTATATTACTTTGGAGGGTGTCCTGGAACTGGAGCGGGCTGGCCTTGAACTCACAAAGATCAGCCTGCCTCTGCCTCTCGGAGTGCTGGGATTAAAGGCATGGGCCACCAATGCCCGGCCCCAAACGACTCTTGCACATGGAGTCATCTAAGATCGTCGGGAAACACATTTATTGACATTATAGTTCATAACAGTAGCAAAATTACAGTTATGAAGCAGCAACGAAAGTAGTTTTATGGCTGAGAGTCACCACAATATGAGGGACTGCAATGAAGGTTGAGACTTCACTGGTGTAGAGACTTGAAAGAGAAAGGCATAGGACTCCCCAAATAGCATTGTCTCTGTGACCCGAGGTGGCAGACGTAATTTAACTATGAGGGGAGTAGGGAGAATCTGAAGTAAGAGAAAAGAGGGGAGTGGGGAATGGCAGAGTGTAGGGAAAAAGCTAGGCCAGAGATCTAGACCTACCGAGTGTTCCTCTTCTCATCTGCCTTCTCTGTTTTTTCTGAGACAGAGTCTCACTTTGTAGTCCAGGCTGCTTCAGCCTGCTGGGTGCTGGGATTACAGGTGTGAAACATCATACCCACCAGGAAGGCTTTTTGATAAACTAAACAACTTCCAAAGTGTATGTATTAATCTGAAGAACAGTGCTTATTGGTAGAACCTTAGAAGTGTTATTTAACTCAGCATTATAGACTGAGTAATACAAGGCCAACCCATTAATCCCAGCACTTGGGAGGCAGAGGCAGGTAGACCTCTGAGCTGGAAGCTGGCCTGGTCTACATAGTGAGTGCCAAGTTAGCCAGGGCCACATAGGGAGACCCAGTTTCAAAATCAGCAGCTAACATGATAACTTAGAATCATACACAAATACTAATGCAATCCCTAACTTCTGCTCATATGGCAAGAAAAATGTTTAAAAACTAGGAAGGGGTTGGAGATGTAGCTCAGGGGTAGAACACTTGCCTAGCATGGCCCTATGCACCATTTTCAGCAACACACACACATCCTTAGAAAGGACTTGATGGATGCCCGATGCCCTGCTCACTGTTGATTTAATACTTACATGAGGAGGTGGGTGGGGTGTGATTTCCCAAAGTTGAGTCACTTGCATGCTCTTTCCAGTGTTCCATATATGTGGTGTGAACCATTGAATTCACAGGTCTGTCTGGGCTCGGAGGCCAAAAGGTCAGTCATGGAATTCTGGACTCATTCATTGGCTGGAATATCCTGGACAATTTGTTTTCTCTAAGCTTTATTTTTTTCATCTGTGAAATGGTTTTTACTTATCTTTGCTTAATATAGGCCATTTTTATATGGATACAAACCTGGTTAGTTGCTTGAAAGGAGGAAAAAGGGAAAAGTAAAATGTGATAAAGGGTGTTGGCTTGTCTCAAAACCTGTATGTGGGGGATGAAAATGGGGAAAATACTCAGTTATTTTGAAAGCAATGAGAGGCATAAAACTGTAGTTGTCTAGAGTGGTATACTAGACAGTGTTATTCAGCCAACTATCCTAAATTTGTAGCAGATAACTTTTTTTAACATAGGGTCTCACTGTAGATCAGCCTGGCCTGAGTTAGCTCGGGAGCTTACACCGACCTCAAGCTCATGGCAGTCTGTCTCAGCCACCCAAGTGCTTTTGATGTATAGGTGTGAGTCACCACTATATGGCTGAAAACTTTTTATGTTAAATTGCACTCAGCCAAGCCTTTAGTTCCAGCACTTTCATGGCAGAGGCAGACAGAGCTCTGTGAGTTCGAGGCCAGCCTGATCTACAAATCGAGTCCAAGGACAGCCAGGACTGTTTCACAGAGAAACTCTGTCTTAAAACACCCTTCCCCCCCAGTTGCATTCATTGTGTGTCTGTGTATGGGACAGCACATGCATGGAGGCCATTGGGCAATTTATGAGAGTTAATTCTCTCCTACCTTGTGGGTTCTGGAGCTGATGTGCCTGAATATTAAGCTAGTCAGTACTGGAAAGGAAATTGTTTCTTTCCCTTCCAGGGCATTTAAAAAATTATGTTTAAAAGTCATTTTTATATTCAGGTGTGTGTATATATATATATGCCTTCGTGTGGGTATGTGCACATGTTTGCAGATGCCTTCAGAAGAGGGTGTCAGATCCTGGGAGCTGTTGTTATAGGTGGTTATGAGCTGCCAACATGAATGTTGGGTATTGAACTCTGGTCCTCTGCGGGAGCAGTGAGTGCTCTTAACACCTGAGCCATCTTTAGATAATTTGTTGTTGTTAGTGTATGTCTTATCTGTCCTTATTTGAAATTGGAAGCAGTTTTCTTTTTCTCTCTGACCACATTTTTTTTTTTTTTTGGGCAGATTTTTTTCCTTTGTATCTCAGTTATCCTTGAACTCGCTATGCAGCCCAGACTGGCCTCTAACTTGCAGCAGTTCTGGCTCAGCTTCCTGAGTGCTGACAGTACAGGCACTCAGCACCCTGCTCTCCTTGAAAAACTTAGGTCTTAGATCCTGACGTTCTGAGTCATGAACCTTGATCCTTTGTCCTACTCTGTTTAGCCTGTTTGCCAATACCTTGAATTTTTATCTACTTAACTTTTTCCATCATAATTTCATACTTATGGTCTTTTTCATGTATCTGTCATTATTTTCTACCAGTGTTTTTTCTTGCCTATATCCATAATTAGGGTTCAAGATTTCTGTTTAGGGGAAGGTAAATAAATATTATCTCAGAACCACAGTGAAAGGAGTAGAGAGTGATTACTGACCTGTATACCTGGTGTTTCGAGCTTTTTGTTTATTTATATATTTATTTGTTTTGCTTGTACAAGCCCAACTTGTGTTGATCTTACTTAGTGTTTCCCCCTTTCGAATATGAAGTGATGCATTTCTGATCCAAGTAGGAGGCAATCCTTCAGGATTTAGTTTTATGGGCTATAATTTAAACTTTATGAACTACCCTATTTAATTGTGATTTAGTCTACAGTAGTTCCTAAGCTGGGATTGGAATTTTTTTAAGGTTTATTCATGTATTTTTTCTTTATGAGTGCTGTCTTCACACACACCAGAAGAAGGAATCTGATCCCATTACAGATGGTTGTGAGCCACCATGTGGTTGCTGGGAACTGAACTCAGGACTTGTGGAAGAGCAGTCAAGTGCTCTTAACTGCTGAGCTATCTCTCCAGCCCCAAGGAGAGGTTTTTGTAGGACATTAATCTGTAGAGTTAGTTCAAGGCCTGGACTATATGGTGATAACCCATCTCAAGGAGAGGACTGGTTTGTAACTTAGTAGTAGAGTTCTTACTTAGCTGGTTAGGTCCTAGGATTGATCCCCAGTACCACAAAACAAAACAAATGGCAAGATGGCACATGCTTAAGGAGTCAAATATAGTTCATGGTAAATTAAGCTAGGAGATAGACATAAAGATTGAAGGAGGCTTGAACTTGACCCTGAAAAAATAGGGGACTAGGTGGGTTGGAGGTAGCTGAGAAGGGGATGTGAGTTTAGACATTTGTGAACTCCAGGAGCAGCCTTACCGTTGAAGGAAGAAGCCAGAGGACTCAGGTCATGACAAGATCGTGGCTAGTAAGCTGCAGCCTGGGCTTTGTTAATGTGCACATTTTCGTAGGCTTTTTTCTCCCTCTGCTTCTGGCGAGCTCTCTGCTTCCCTTCCTAGTCCAGTTTGGGAAGGTGTGAATGGTTCCTGCTGCCAATCTGAAGTTCAAGGACAGCCTTCAACACTTTCAAACAACAGATGAAATAAGTTTTCTATAGAAAGTGGTGCCGAGATGGAATAATCAAACTTCAGATTCAATGTAAAGATAATGTTTCCTTTTCTAACTGGTTTGTTCATTTGGGTTTCTAGAGAGGAAATTAAGAACTTGGAAATAGTGTAAAATGTGAAATAAATGGAAGCTTTGTCCTTGTTACCTTTTCCCCAGGGCTCTTTCTGTAGACCTAAACCAGGCTACTTTTGGCAAATGCCAAGTGATGATTTTGGTTAAATAGAAAATTCTGAAAGGAGCTCAGAATGAGGAAGCAACAGGAGGTACTGGAGCCAAGAGATTGGACACAGGGAAGCCTAATAATAGTGACAGGCAAGGGACAA